CAGAATGAAGGCTCTTAGGTCACGTGTCCCATGGCTTCGGACCAGACAGGAGACAGCACAGCTGGGCATGTCATGCCTGGGCCAGGGTGGGGTGTCCAGAAACCTCACTCTGGGGACTTCTTGGTCCAGACACAGAATCCATCTCAGTACAAAGGCTATTTCTTGGGTGGGGTAAATTTCCAGGGTCTTTTAAAAGCCATAAATAGAGAGGCTCTGATTTAAAAGCCTCATGGATGGTGATTTTTTTAGATCATTTATGTAGCAGAGCTCCTCTCCCTCCCATCTGATTTGACCCTCTGTCTTCTCTAGGCTGTCTGGGAGAGAAGGAACTGGTTTTCTCTAAATAAGTATGGGCTGCTGCATCTGATTCAGATGGGGACGGTTTAAGGACCCTGTGATTCCTCAGTTCCCTTGTAAGGTTTAGGACTTCGGAATGAATTAAAACACCAAAGGCAAGAAGCCTGCAAGGGAGAAATGATGATTCCCGCTGGTTCCTCCCCGCACCTGCGGTGCCCGTGGCAATCTGCCTACAGGGAGCCCGAGTCACCGAGAGGGAAATGGTCCAATTCAGGACCGGTTAGAAATTGGGCTCATACACCAGCCATTAGGGAACTTTACTCGATGAGAAAATGAGAACCTTTCGTAGTTGCTAAAGAGAGCACCATTCTTAATTTGACCTCCTCTTGGCCGTGGGAGATGAGCACTTTATCTGAAACTCAAGTGCCCAGAAAAGGAAGAAAAAGAAAGCCATTGGTATGAGGAGGGGAGGCCAGTCTGCATCCTGTTCCCCTGAGGTCACATGTCTACCCTGGTCCCTGGAGCAAGTCCATGGCTCTGATGGGTGGAGACTCTGATGGAAAATGTGCCTTAAGATGCTATGCGCGTTGGGCCAAACCACAAAGTGGCATAGTACTTGAAGCAAATGGCCTTTACAATCAAGATCTGAAAGATGCAGTTTTAAGTAGCCTGAACAAAGCCCAACACTAGGAGAGAAACAGAGGTTTGAGGGGCCAGATTGGTGGGAGGGAGTTGATTTGAAGAAGAATTAGAAAAAAAAGAGAGAGACTTTATGAATGGTGTTTCCAATGCCGAGACTGAGACGTAGGATAGGACACCAGCTTTAATAGAATGCTTATGAAAACTGGCGTGGAGGGCCTTTTATAGTAAGAGTGAATTTCTCATCTCTAAAGTCATGCTCCGGTAGGTCACGTGGAGACAGTCACTGTCAGAACTGGCAGGGAGGGGTGAGGGTAGCCCCTGCCTGGAACCTAAGCCCCCTCCCTTTTGATAAAACAGAAGGACATTTTTGGCAGCCTGGACCCATGTTGTAGGTGTGTAGGGTAGCTCACTGTAGCCTTAATTTGAATTTCTTGATTACAAAAGAGGTTGACTACCTTCTGATATGTTTATTGGCATTTGGATTTCCTCTCTGTAAAGCATCTCTTCAAGTTCTTTGCCCTTTAACAAGTACTGGATTGTCTGAATTCATCAAACTGATTTCTGAGACTTCTTTGTATGTCCTGGGGCTGAGTCCTGTGTTGGTTTTGAGGGTTGCACACTTTTTTTTGCTCTGTTCTGTGGCTTCACCTTTTTCTCTCTTAATAGTATATTTTGATAAACATAAGTTTTTAATTTTAATGTAGTCAATTATATCAGTACTTTCCTTTATGGTCAATATTTTCTGTCTTATTTTATAATTTGTCCCACAGAGATGGTCTATGTGATTTTCTCTTTTTCATTCAGGTCTGTAATCTGCCTAGAGTTGATTTTTGAGTGTGGTGTGAGGTAGAGGTCCAAATGCATTTTTTCCATGTGGATACCAAATTGTTGCAGCTATATTTACTACCCCTTTCATTGCTTTACAGCACTACCTTTACCATAAACCGCATGTTCATATATGTACAAATTTGTTTATTGGTTTTATGTTCTGTTCCATTGGTCTATTTCACTGATTTTCTAATGTTAAACCAACCTTGGATTCCTGGTATAAACTCAACTTGGTTATAGTATAATGTTCTCTTCCTATATTGCTGGACTTAGTGTGTTAATATTCTTTTAGGATTTTTACAGCTATATGAATGAGAGTGATTAAGATGTATTTTTGCTTCATTGTGCTGCCTCTAGCAAGTTTTCATGTCAAAGTTAGACCAGCCTAATGAGTTGGGTTATAGAGCAACTATGTTTTAATCGTAATGGTCTGGCCAGGACACTGCTGTTTCTGCTAGATACCACCACTGCTACTACTGCATTTGCATTCTAACTTTCTTTTGTATTTCCTCATTTGTTCTATGTTCAAAGTCCTCAGTAGAGGCATCTGATAGGCTGAGCAGACTGCCTGTGGGGCAGGGAGAGGGAAGCTCTGGTTCCCTTATCTTTTGTAGTCGGGGGTAGGGGTGGGGTATATACTGGTTTCCAAGACTGGGAGAAGGCTGTATCCTAGACAGTGCATTTCTCCTCCCACTCCCCCTACCCCCTGCAAAAAAAGTGTCCTTGACAATAATCCTGTACAGTAATTCTTATACTCATGAAAGACTGAGAACACTGAGTGGACCAAAGGAAAGAGTGAAAGGGAAATGTATAGTTGTTTGGGTGTTCACCCTGTTCTCCTTGATAACAGAAGTTTTTAATTTTAATGTAGTCAATTATATCAGTACTTTCATTTGTGGTTAATATTTTCTGTCTTGTTTTATAATTTGTCCCTGCATTTCTCCTAATTCTGCATTTCAAATAAACTGAAATTCCTGGTGGTGAATGGGAATTGGGCATTCTAAGGGCTTTTGATAGTCTGCAGGATTTAACCTAATTTTAACTCAACATCACCCTCTCTAATCAGCACCTCTATACGTAGTAAAACACTGGTCTCAGGATGCCCTGGAGAATCAAATCCTCCCTGAGGGTCAGGTTCTAAAGTAGGCTCCTCAGTTAAATTTGCATATAATTAGATTCCACCGTATTCACTTTTTACTTCTCATTATTTTATGGACATCAAGCATGAGTGTCTGTAATTTCCCCTTTCCAAAAACAGAAACAAAAACCACAAGCATGCAAACCTGAGAGGGTCTTGTGTTTCCACTGTTATTTTTGGATGGATGGGTTGGTGATTTCACATGCTTTTGGGTCTCTCTCAGTGGTTCTCTCAGTCTCCATCCGGCCTGCTGGCCTACATCCAGTTAGATACTTGTTCATGGTACTGCAGGGCATGCTCAAGGTTGGGATCAGGCTTTTTGCCTTTTCTCCCTGTCTATCCCACATAGCTGCTGTTGATTCCCAGAAATTGGGTGACTTTTATGGCCTCGATAGAACAGTATTTTTAGAACATAGTGGGTCCTGGATTCTGTATCTGGTATGCAACAGAGAGCTTCAAGTCTTAAGTCCTTTAAGAGAATTGCACTGTTATTATTTCTCCAGGATTCTCTTCCACTTACTTGCCCATTGTTAAGATCCTTTGCTACTCTGAAGCTCTCATGAAGTCCTGGAGATGTCTTTGTGGTTTGTCTCCATTGAAGAATTAGAAATAACAGTGCCCCCTAGGCACATGGAGGTGTCATTGTTTCACTGCTTTAGTTAATCAGCAGGTGTTGGCAGTTGCCCCATCCAGAATGTTCAGGGAGCCCCAGAGTGTGTCCTGTTTTAGAGAAACGCCAGTGTATCTCAAGTCTTAGACTTCTGATAACTAACATTGATAGAAATTATCTTAAAGCAAAAAGGCTAATTTAAAGAGTTTTTGTTTGTTTGTGAAGACTACATTTTCTACTGATCTATTTAATTCTTTTGACCTCTCTGTTGCTTGTTCATATGGTTATAAAGATAGTACAGTGCCTAGCATGTAGCAAGCATGCAATACATGATTACTGAATGAACACTGTCTTTTAAAATTCTTTAATTTTTCTTTTCTTTCCTTTTTTTAACAAAAGTAACATATTCTTTGTAGAAAATTCAAATAATATACAAGCTTCTGAAATAAAATATGAGTGTCTTCTTGCCTTCTGCTTTAGTCCCATAAGGTTACTATTGTTAACAGTTTGATGTATATTATGCTAGACTTTAAAAATGTAAATATAAGCTTCACCCCCCCACATATGCTGAGATTCTTTTCCCTTTGAAAATGGAATCATTCCATCAGTAATGTTTTTCAGTTCACTTTTTTCTATTCCCTCCCAATAGATGATTCTATGACAACATTTCAGTTACTGTACGTTGGTCTAGTTCTTTAATGGCTATATAATAATCTATTTAGCCAATTCCATTGTTTTGCCATAGCAAACGATGCTGCAGCCAGTTCCTTGGACAGCTGCCCTTGCACAGCTGTGCATCTCTGTTGCATAGATCCCTCGAATAAGATAGGACCTTTTAATTAAAGCCCCCAGCACAGACCCGAGCCTTAGTGGGCAGCTCCATAAATATTGGTTGATGACAATACTATGGTGTCATATTAATTAGAACAGGAAGGGACCCATTAGGGCCACAAATGCACATTCATAGGGCAAGCTGTTTCTACAGAAGGAGGATATAACACTTAATATTCTCATTTTGAAAAGACAAAACACGTTAAATGTAATAAGTAGCAGGTTGCCTGTGTATCAGCATGTAAAATATTCCCCAGGGAGCGTTAGCTTGACAGAATGCATAAAGATACTGCATTCAAGATAAAACAGAGCGAATATTTACCCAGCATAGTTACCTGGAAAATATACAATTTGATCTAGATAGAGGCTTTTACTGTATAAATTATTGTGTCCTCGACTTCAATCACAAACGGCTTTCAAGTTGGGCAATTGCCTTAGAAAAAAAGCAGAAGAGAACAGTTTCCAATTGTCTGGAATGAGCTTCAAAAATAGGTAACTCGGTTCTGATAGAACAATTTAAACTGGCCATCTCCTTATCTGATGTGGACATCATTTTTCAGAGGGGCATCCAGCTCAAATTAAATAGTTTCCCCGCAGACAGTCTGTCTGTCTTTTTTTGTTTTTGTTTTTTGTTTTTTCTTTTTCCTTCGCCAGGCAGGGTGCCTCAGGCCTCTGCTAATTTAAGAAGATTTGTCTGGGCAATGCCAAAGTGAGATGAACAGAAACAACTTTAACAGAAGGTAAAAATGAATGATATTAAAAAACGATAATAAAGGCTGGTCAGAGGCTGATTTGACATTGGAGACTATACTCCTGCCTGGCTGATTGCTTCAGAAACCCTCTTGAAACCCTGGGATTTATTTGCAAATGATCTCCACTGTGGACCAAAGAGTTCAACAGGAAAAGAAATGAGCAAAATTGATGAGTTGGGTGGAACAAAATAGGGCCATCACACTGTGGTGGGAAGAGGTGAGACAGGGCGTCCCCGGGAACATTTTGATCAAATTGCCATGGCGGAGGTGGGGCTGCTTCTCTTCCGGTCTCGGGCGCTTCACAGGCCTCCCCTGCACTTAGCTGCTCCTCCTTTGTCCAGCCAGCCGTGGTAGCTCCAGGCCAGTGAGCCGCAGCTCTGAGGATGGGGCCCTCTTCCCAACGCAGGGGAGTGCAAAGAGCGGGGCCTGCATTTACAGACCTTGAGGAAATCCAAGGAAGGCAATTTGTTTTTTGGACTGGCTGCAGGATGCCACAGCTCAAAGCCTGTCCTAAAACTGTCTATTCTCTCCATTTACAAATGTACATGTACATAATTAAAAAAACCTTTTTATTCTGAAATAATGTCAAACTTATAGAAAGAACTCCCATGTACCAGTCACCTGGATTCAGCTGTTGGCACCCTCTGCCACATTTGCTTTATTTCTGTAACTCTTTTACCCATAAATACTTCACTGTATGCGCCCTGAGAACAAGGACATTCGTTCTTTTATACAATCGCAGTGAGATTGTCAACGTGGGGAAACAGAACATCAATCCATGTGGGCTATGATCAACTGAAGGTTCATATTTAAGTGACTACAATTCCCCAATGATGTCCTTTTTTAAAAAACTGTTTAAAAGTTATTATTTTTTTAAATTTTCTTATTTTTTGTTTTGGCAGAAGAGGTAATTAGGTTTATTTTTAAAGGAGGTACTGGGGATTGAACCCAGGACCTTATGCATGCTAAGTAGGCACTCTACCACTGAGTGTCCACCTCCCCACTCTGAAACATGAGAAGAAATGATGGTGCCCATCTCTTGTGAGGGTAAAATGAGGTTGAATGTAGAGCTTCCTCATCTCTAGCACAGAGTTAACTAGCAAATGGAGAAATGGTGGTGACAGAGGCACCCAGGGGAACACCTGTTTAGAGGGGAGGCCATGTGAAGACACAGTGAGAAGGTGTCATCTGTAAGCCAAGGACAGAGGCCTCAGATGAAACCAAACCCGCGGACACCTTGGTCATGGACTTCTAGCCTCCAGAACGGTGAGAAAACAAATTTCTGTTTTTCTCTTTTAAAGAACTTGTAGTTATTACCAATAAAGCTTATTGTTATTAATACTGACTTTTATTATTAATTAATAATCACAATGAGTAGACATCTAACTTTTTGGCATTGGAATATTGCCTTGGCTGTACGTCCGGAGACATCCCACAGTATGTTCAGTGCGAGCTGGCTCTTTCCTTTGCTGATCACACTGACCGGGGTGGTGTTCTGGGGACACCGTGCTGCACAGTGTCCTGACGCATGGTTGTGCCATAATGGTTTAGCCAGTCATGCTTTCTGGGTGTTTAGTTCACTTCCATTTATTCTTGCTTTAAATAACGCTTGGATGAGTGTACTTGTGCATGAGTCTTTATGTGACATGTCTGATCATTTCCTTGGAAAACAGTCCTAGAAGGGAGGGGCAACTAGGTCAGAGGGATGGACATCACTAGGTATTCTCCGGAAGTAAGAAGACATTCAGCTACCATTGGAGGCTTTACTGGGTCAGGCCCTCTGCCGAGCCTCCCAGTAGTAAGACAGAGTGATTCTGTCGCCACTCCTCATTTTGCTGATAAGAAAACTGAGGGTTGGAGGGTTGGGTTGTTCACATGAGGTCACACGGCTGGTAAGTGGTGGAGCCAGGATCTGACCCAGTTCTTTCAGCCTCCAGTTCTGGAACATTCCACCTGCCACCTAGCAGGTAATGTCAACCATCCATGCATATGAGAGGGCTCAACCCCACCCTCTTCCTTTGCTGACACTTGATGTTATAATTTTTGCAATGTTTACCTCCAATGGTCTTTGTGGTTGTTTGGCTTCCTATGTGGGTGGCGGGAGGGACTGGACGGTGGACCAGAGATGGTGCTCCTATCTGGCTTCTCCTGGGGGCGGTGAGCATGGCTGCGCTGAGCAGATAGGGGGGGAAGGGGGAGAGATGCGAACCCTGCCTGACCGATGTGAATGGGAAGCCCAGGGACTCCTTCCTGAGCCTCAGTGTGTATCTCCAGTGATAGCCTTTGTCCCGAGGCATTGGAGAAAAAGACCAGGAAATGGGGGAGGCTGGCCAGTTCTGTCAGGAAGCTGTCCAAGGCCATGGAGACCTCACACCACAAGGAGGGACTCAGCCTTTCATGCCCCTTGGCTCACACACCAAGGCTTCCTGACCTGACATCAGGTCGGGGCTGCCAGTCCCCTGACCTGTGGAGGGAAAGGCCCTCTTTGTGTGTCCCGTGATCAAAGTAAATCACCCATTTGTATTATGTTTAAACCACTTCAAATTTTTCCTAAGGTTAGCTTCAGGCAAGGAGAAAGGAAAGGTTTTCATAGATCTGCTGGACATTTAGGGACTTGGAATTTCCAGAGAAGGTAGCATTTTATGGTATCCTGTCCCCTCTGGGTCTTCATGTTTATGCTGGTTCCCATTTACTTTCCTTTACGCAGTCAATTAAGCATATCAAGGGTTAATTGCCTGGAGGCTAATAACAATATTACTCCAGATGGCACCCCGGCTGTGGAACCCCTCAGTCTGAACATAGTGCTACCTCTGGACAGGTCAGCTAGTTTGTGTGTGCAGAGTGCAAACAACGCTAATTCTGAGCATACCAGAATGGGGTGAGAGGGTGCTTATGTGGGCAGAGTGGGCAAAGATGGGGAGGATGCTGGGAAGCATTTCCAGGAAAAATCTGATCTTTCTTCCTAAGGAACAGATTGGCTGTGGTCCCTTATGAATCTTAAATACCTTAATGGAAATAGGTGTTTTTGACTTAATAGAGAAGAAACCCACAATTGTTTGGATGGAGCAAAACTCTTTGCTGTGATGGAAAAGGAGGCCTTGGTAGGTGCTCCCCACCCCAGCTTGTTCCCATCCCCCTCTCTGAGCCCCCAGCCTCCTCATCCTCCCCCTTCTTGAAAACCCATTTGTAACCATTACTTGGGTGTCACGTTGGGTGATGAAGTGCCTCGTCGCCCTTTGCTTTGGCGGCTGTGTGCTGGAACAGGCCTGGCCGCGGAGGTGAGAGGAGGGCCCAAGGCCCATGAATCACGTCAGGCCAGCTGGTAACCTGAGCCCGCCGTGCCCCTCGCCACGGACCTCCGTGACACTCCTGCCAACTTAATTTCAGCCTAAGGGATGCTTTTAAGGAGATTTTAGAGCGCACAAACATCTCCTCAAAAGAATTGTAGTTATATTAAAAACTAATTATCAGGGCTTAGGGGTATAGATCTGCTGCCATATTTTACGCGGAGAGCCATTTATCTCCCAGACCCTGAAGTATCATTACATAGTAGGTTAAGGATACCCACCCAGGGGACACTGGGAAAAAGGGAGTAAAATCGCCCAACACCTGGAAGTGATGAGCAGTATGATGGTGACAAAAGGGCACTGCCCTCCCGCTACAGCAGGTTCTAATATAACAGGAAAGTGGCACAGCCTAGCTGAGCCCATGCATAAAGCTGTGGGTGAGTGTGGTTTGTCTGGGGCCCTGTGGTTAAATGTGATATTTACCTTTGAAAGACTTGGCTTTCTTGCCACAAAGAATCAGACATTACAGTGAGAGGGTATGTTCCCAACTGTCCGTAGGTGGAGTAGAGGGCTTGTCATGTACAGGACGCTGCCAAGTGTTCTTATGTGTTACCTCCTTGAGCCTCACGACAAACTCATGAGGGTGAATATTATTATTTATTGCTGTTCTACCGTTGAAGAGACTGGGCAAATCAGTCGGGATGTGTTTGGTTGTACCAGGAAACTCAACTCCAATCAGCTTAAACAATAACTTATTATTTCAAGTAACTGGAAGATCCAGTTAATGGCAGGTTTGAGTCAGAGTTTCAACAGTATTATCAGGGATCCAGTTTCTTTCCATGTGTTTGCTCTGCCTTCCTTAGTATCTCCGTCTTGCTAAGGCTGATCCCTTTCCTGGGTCCAAGATGGCTGCCAGCAGCTCCCAGGACTCCGTGCTTCCTTGTCCACATGCGTGGGATGCTTTTGTCCCAGCATGCCCTGCAAGAGTCCTGGGGGGTTCCCTCTGATTGGACTAGCTTGGGTCACATGGCCATGGCTGCATCAGTGATGTGGCCTGGGGGATGGAATGAATTGACTGGCTTAGCTTAGATCACTTTTGCTACCCTGGGAGCTGGCATTAGAGTCAGTGTTCTCGTATCTATGAGGACCTCAATATGGAAGCCTTGGGGAATGAAGACAACCCCACAAGTCCACCAGGGACAGGGACATGAAGTAACTGGTCCATGGTTCATGCAGGTGTTAGTGACAGAGCCTGAATCTGAACCCAAGCAGATGTACTCAAGAGCCCTTTCTCAAGCCATCATCCTTCTAGCATTCTCTAACTCAAGTCTTGTGGTGAATATCTCATACACCTCTCTTACAGTTTCTTTGCTAAGAATGTCACTGTGCACTTAAGTAGTACAAACTGTCAGCAAACAGTAATTCCAGAAAACCACAGGCTGCATTATCACCTGATGACGTGAACTGGTAGGAAGAGCTCTGGATTAAGAACTGCCATTGGTCACCTCGTTAACCTTGGATGGGTCACCTCACCTTGCACGGCCTCTGTTTTTCTCACAGATAAGTGAGGGATAATGTCTCTCCGTATGTACCTGGTGGAGTTGTTCCAGGGCTTAAACAAGAGAGTACTATTTGAAGGAACCTGAAAAGCTCTAAATATCTGTGTGCACATAAATTATTATTATACGTAGGATCATGATCAGTTTCATTCAAAATATGAGAAACTGACATTTTGTAAAAGGTCCTCTCTTCAGCCTCAGACACATACTGTAATTTAACAAAGTTTTTCATTGATGTGGCCTAGAAATATCACCCAAACGGAAAATTATCTGGTGTTAAGGATGTTGCATGAAACCCATGCCAAGGTGGCAGGATATGTATTCATAAGAAGCTTTTAGTTGCCTCTTGTTGAGGTGTGATGATTACATATGTAAATGTTATTCTGCTTCCAGTTAAACTACAGCCTCATTGAAATGGAAGGTGGAAAGATCCTGACCAGCTCCATTTCAAGATACAGTATACCTATTAGGTGGAAAAAAGCACATGCAAATAGAAGGCATCAGATGGCACTTAGAGATGTGATCTGTCCCCTCCCTTCCCCATTACCTACCTTCTCTGAGGCTGCGTTATGAATAGAAACAAGCAAACGAAGCCTACACTTACAACAAAATGACAGAGTCACCCAAAGATTTGACATTGATTTTCAAACAGGTGGTTTTAAGGATACCTTGTGACCTGTGAGGATGTAATGTCATTACCAGGTGTGTTCACTAACCTGTATTATGTATTGTTGTTTCTGATGAGGTGACCAGAAAGGTGACTCATGCAGGGAGGTCAATGGTATCCTTCCTTCCTTGTTGGCTTCCTTTACTCTTTGCACAGTTATTTATTGAGAGCCCCCCGTCTCAGGCCTGGAAGATGGCAGTAAGTGAAACAGATATGAACTCCTGTGCTTGGGGAGCTTATAGTCAAGTGTGTTTCATGTCCTTTCCTTCAGGAAGATGTTAGACAGGACTTCCTTGGGATCCTTGAGGCAGAGACACTGCACGTTGACTTGTAATCCTCTTTGAAGACAGGTGATTCATAGTCTGGGTGGGTGAGGTGGGCCAAGGGCTCTGACCTGTTTTATCCGAGGCGCTGGGTGAGGGCACGGTTGACTTGTCCTCTGTGCTGCAGCCGCACCTAGCTTCATGCTGCTTCTTGGACACACCATGTGTCCTCTCATCTCTGACCTTTGCATGTGCTCTTCCTCTGCCTGGAACATGACCCGCATTGCCCTCCTCTACCTCCCTGCCCAACTCCTGCTCCTCCTTCAAATGTCAGGTTACATACTTCTTTCTTTGGAAACTTCCCCTGAGTCCTCACGCTTGTGTTTGGTGTTCCTGCTGCACGTTCCCATGTCTCCTTTATTACTGTACTTATGTACGTGCCTGTTTAGCTGTCTGCTGTCCCTCTGGGCTCTAGGCTCTAGCCACACTT